AGCCAAGGACCATTTTGGCACTCATAACGGCTATTTTTTCAATAGCCAACTGTCAGATTTTTAGAAGAATTTTTTTAAAAATTATAGTCGTTGGGCCCGTTTAGGACCGTTTGAGACCGGTTGAATCAACCCACTTAGGAGCCGGTCCCGGGCCCAAACAGTCCCGGTCCTAATGGGCTTCGCGTGTGAACCGGTCCACATGGGCCTCAAACCCCTCGGTCCCGGGCTTAAACGGGTAGGTCATTTTAGGCCCACTACCCATGTGGGCTCGTGGGCCTGAGCAGGGCCTAACCGACCCACTTGCCACCCTTAAATTATAGATATAGATATTTTTTTAAAATTTAAAAGTAAAAGGGTATAACTGTGCGATTTTAAAATACAAGGGTGTAGCCGCAATTGACTCAAAATACAAGAGTGCCCTAGAAAATTTCAGAGCCTCTTTCTCTGTCTCTCGCCGTTTCCCCAAATTTTCTTCTGCTAATCAGCCGCTGCTCCTCTCATCTAACCCTTGCTTTTGTTCCTCTCAGCTTTGAATACTTTGTTACCGGTAAGTATTCCTTTCTTCTTCTTCTTCTTCTTCTTATTTTCTTTCGGAATTTTCCCCGCGCACCTTCGTATTTTTTATATTTGATTCATCTTGTTCTCTCATCTATCAGAGATTTCTCTGCTTCTTCTTGTTTGTGTTTGAAAGAATTTATTTATGCATTGATTTTTTTGCGTGAAGACTAGGAAATTAGGGTTTTGGTTTATTTAAATAGTTGCAGGCATCCTCTTTCTTATTCTAGGGATTTTCCTTAATTTTCCGATAATCTTAATCTTTGCGTTACTGATCCTTATGCCTTTGAACCACACGAGCCCTTATTGTGTTTGGTTTGTTAAGATTAAGAAGTATAAAAGCTAATGCCATAACTAAAAGATTTGGAAGTTGTAATTTTAGACTTTGTTTAAAAAATTTATAAGAAATTTGTCATGCTTAATTTATCTAGACAATATGTAACGTGTCTTTTCAAGCATGTGTCTTAATATTTGCGCCTTCTGAATTGAATTAGTATATCCTATGCAGATAGCTGTTGACCCTGTTAAAACAGATGAACAGCTAAAGGAGAATGAATAAGTTGCTTTAAACTCGTCATTATAAATGCACTCTGTGTGAAAACAGGTGCTCAATTATATCTTCTTGTGTAGTAGGAGCAATTTTTAGCCTTTTTCTTAAGTCATGATAATCAGTTATTAGAAAATAAATTGTACATAGTTTATCAACCAGTGTTGTGAAGAGCATGAAGCGAGTAAAAGCGACAAGCCCCTTTTCACTTAAAGCGAGAAGCGAAGCGCTCACTTTTTTGAAGTGAAGCTAGAGCCTAACGTGACGAGGGGTAAAGCTTGTGCTTTAGGCCCCCAAATTTGGGGGTCCCCATTTTTAAAAATAATAGGATTATAGGTATTTTAAAAAATAATATTTAGTACTTTTAATATAAAAGTAGAGTTTTTTAAATATAAAAGGAAATAGAGCTCTTTAGATATGTAAGTAAAGTAATAATTTGACATATTTAAAAGTGGGTAGATGAATAATTTTTTCAACGTTTTAGGTTGACTCCTTCATTAGATAATGTATAAAAAATTTACTCTCCCTTCTTTGATATGTCTAAGTCAATCTTTCTTTTCCCCAATCTCTTCATATTTCAGAAACCCTACATATTTTTTGTCTTTCTTTTAATATTCTTGCTCACCTTCTTTGTCCAAGATTTCATTACTCACTTTCTTTCTTCAAGATTTCATTAGCTCCACCGTTCAACAATACTTTTAAGCATTCAATAGTTCTATTTTTTTATTGCTCTATAAAATCTTATCGATTAACAATATCTCAAGAAAGATTAAATGAGTTGGTTATATTATTAATTGGATAAGAATAATTAGAGAAAATCGATTATAAAAAAGATTATTAAAAACTTTGTATTTCAAAAAGCTAGAAGAATAGACTTCAAATGAAACCATATATATTAGTATAACTTTCTTTTAAATATTTAGGCCTCATATTAAACTTTGGCTTTAGGCCCCGCATATCCTTGAGCCAACCCTGAGTAAAGCGGAACTTAAAAAAAAATACTAAAATAAATATTAGATATATTCTTTTGGTGCCATTAAATATTAGCATAGATGCATCGGTTAGGAGGTGTGAGCGGTTGACTTTGACAGGTACGAGAAGAGGCAGAGAGCGGCCTAAGAAGTATTGGGGCGAGGTGATCAGGAAGGACATGACGCGACTTCAGATTTCCGAGGACATGGCTCTTGATAGGATCATGTGGAGGTCGAGCATTAGGATGGTAGGTTAAGGGGGTAGTCGAGAGTTCTTCCCTCTTTGTACCGGGTAGTCTGATAGAGTTTCGTGTAGGTTTGTTAGCGGTCTATGTTGTGTTCACCTTGTTGTTTTGCATAGTTTTGTGTTATTGTCCTTTCACTTCTTTGTTGTTATTATCTTTCTTTTGGCATCTTTTGTTGTTACCTGCCTTTTCCCTTATTTCTTTTCTGATATTATTGTGCTTCCTGTTGAGCCGAGAGTCTCTCGGAAACAGCCTCTCTACTCTTTATCGGGGTAGGGGTAAGGTCTGCATACACTCTACTCTCCCCAGACCTCACTAGTGGGATTTTACTGGGTATGTTGTTGTTTTGGTGCCATTAAAATAACAACTTAAGAATTTGCAAAAAAAATCCGTTTCTTAAGTTCATGAACTTCCAACTTGCAACCAAGCGTCCAATTCAAGCCTAACCAATCCAGATTCCAACCAAATTTTGCACACAAGATCCAAATAACATAACAAACCTATACCATGTTCCAAAATAACAATCCGATTCCGATATCATTGAAGTCAACCCCCGGTCAAACCTATGAACTCCCAAACCTATAAATTACCAACTTTCGGCAAATAGAGCTGAATCACCCTAGGAACCTCCAAATCCAATTCGAAACACATGCCTAAGTCCAAAATCACCATACGAACCTATTGGGCTAATCAAAATACCAATCCGAGGTCATCTACTCAAAAGTCAAACCTTGGTCAACTCTTACAATTTAAGCTTCCAAAATGAGACTAAGTGTTCGATTCACTTTCAAACCTTCCTGAAGCCAAACCAACCACCCCGCAAGTCATAAAACCACAAACACACAGGCGGAAAACATCAAATAGGGGATCGGGGCTCAAATACACAAAACGACTGGCCGGGTTGTTATCACAAAACAATTTTAACTAAGTTGGGACTACTTAAGAATCATTTCTATTTTCTTTCTAGAGTACTAATTAGTGAACCACATCTAAATGTGTTACAACTTGTTAGGCAGAACAGCAAAAATGCCTCAAGCACAAAATTTGTTGAAAATAAGACCAGCAAGTTCATCATGTCCACGTCTTTAAATCATAATTGAGATAGGCCTTTGTAGCTGATGATCTGAAGTAAACAGTGAGGCACAGACCCAAAAGGTCAACTCAGGACCTGAAGTAAGAATCCATTGCAATGCTCTTGCGACAAAATTAATGCCTGACAATTTTTTCTCATCAATAAAAAGATCCTACCTAATGTTACTGCCGATTTCAATATACGCTTTCGTAATTTTTTTTCCAGAAACTTTAGCCCACTAGGATAAATTGTCTGCCTTTCTTACTTTCTTCACTTCTTTGTCTCACACTATGTTCTCTATTATCTTTCAATAAACATTGAAGGCGTGCAAACTGCAAAGATCACAGAGCATTTATGTTCCTGTTGATATGAATATCTGCCTTTATTTTTTTTGTTTTTCTACGTTTATACCACTGGTCTAAAGATAATACTGATTTGAATGTCTGCATTGATAATTTGTTCCCACTCGGCCAAATTTGCCACCGATAATTCATATTCTTTAGATGTATGCCTAATGCCTTTGTTTCAATTGATGCAGGATGGATAGGGTTTGCATCTATATTGCTTACAATGGAAAATGGACTACAGATAACAAGTATTTGTATCATGAGATCAAATTAATTCTTGTGAATGATGGAATAACGTTTGAAGATCTTGTCGAAAAGATTTTTCAGGTCCTAAAACTGAAAAGGGGTGAGGTTCAACCAACTATTTGGTTTGACACGAATCTAGAAACAAGCAAAGGGATGCTAGTGACAAACGACGAGGAAGTTACTACTTGCATCTACTTGCTGAAAAATGATCCAAATTTCAAGACTTCCCGTTTCATTGTTGATATGGCGGAAAGGAACTCTTTGTCAGCAAGGTATTCAAAAACCGAAGAAGTCAATATTGTACAACACGAGGAAATGCAGATTGACAGAGATGAGGCATTGATACCGGTTGAGCCAATAACGGAGTTTGAATCTCTGGAAACAAAAGAAAAATCTGTGGACACGGCACAATCAACGCATGGTATGAAACTAAGAAAAAGGTCCCTACCCAGAAAAGTAATAAAAAAAAGAAAAAGGTCGAGGAGTAAAAGAAATGATTGGCCAACAGTGGTTTTGGGAGGAAATGCTTCATTGGATGAAATAGCTGTGGGATCGCTGTTTGAGAACAAAGAAAGTTTGAAGAAATGTTTCACAAATAGTGCAATTCAATACCACTTCAAATTCAAGACCGTCAGATCGACCAAAAAAAGGTATTATCTGAAGTGTTATGATGACAATTGCAGTTGGTATTTGCATGCTTCACGGGTCCGTGATTCTGCATTATTCAAGATTTCGAAGTATGTAGAAGACCATAGTTGCTCTGCTGATGTGCTTCAGCCTGACCAACAACGGCACGCAACATCCAGGGTCATATCCGATTATATCCGTGAGCTTCTACCTGAATATGAAACAGAGATGACACCAAATTTTGTGAAGGAAGAAATGAGAAAGAGATTTGGGCTGAACATTAGTTACCACAAAGCATGGCGATCAATACAATTAGCTTTTGGTGTGACAAAAGGAAGTCCAGAACAGAACAATGAATTGCTTCCCTCTGAATCCGAACAGAACAATGAATTGCTTGTATCTGAACCATACAAGGAATTGCTTCCCTCTGAACCAGAACAGAACAATGAGTTGCTTATGCCTGAACCACAACAGAAGAATGACTTGCTTCCGTCTGAACCGGAACAGAACAACGACTTGCTTATGTCTGAACCAGAACGCAACAATGAATTGCTTCCGTCTGAACCAGAACAGAACAGTGAATTGCTTATGTCTGAACCAGAACAGAAAATTGAGTTGCTTCCGTCTGAACTAGAACAGGAGAATGACTTGCTGATGTCTGAACCAGAACAGAACAATGAATTGCTTGTGTCTATACCAGAACAGAACAATGCATTGCTTCCATCTGAACTAGAACAGAACAATGCATTGCTTCCATCTGAACCAGAACAGAACAATGAATTGCTTCCGTCTGAACCATTACGGAACAATGAATTGATTCCATCTGAAGAAAGAAACCCAGGAAGGGATGATCAGGCCGTTTTAGCATAGGCTAAGTGTAGAGCGCCATGTATTGTTCTCCAAACCTGGACAACTGAGAGATGCTATTGGTCTTCATGCCAGGGACTCTAAAAATTTATATCGTAGTTATTCTGGCACGGTACTCTAGATTTAACTGATGTACAAAGGAAGTCTGGTCAGTTTCAGTTTCTTAGGTTTATTATGTTTCCTTCTTAATATTTGTAGTTTGACAGAATATGTTTCTGGCACATGCTTTCTCCTTCCCTTGCTTTAGATGTAGATATTATTTTGGCGTTTTTTCTATTTTTTTTCGAGACCAATGTTAGTAGTATTATTTATGCTATGATCTTTGTTGTCCTTAACTTCCAAGTTACATACAGCTATTCATAGTATCGAAATTCAAGTTATTTGAAGTCAGGGAAGAAAAGATGTAAGAAACGTAGCACTACAAGTTAATTGTGGATTCTTTGGCTTCTCTCGTCTGCTTTATTGAAGCTAGAATTACTGTGTATTGAGACCGAGAAACGTTCTCATATAAGAAAGCTGTGTAAAGTTGCTATTTTCCACCATTATTTTCTCTATGGAAGAAGAGAGTAAAATTATCTATATCTTATGAGTTAAAGATAAACTGTTTACATCACGGAGTGTGGTCCCTTTTTTGGATCTAGCATGATTGTGGGTGCTTGCGCACTAAGATACATCTTTTTGTTTTGTAAATGGAAAGAGATGTTCTTTTTGGCCAAATTACTACTGCTAATGTGCCTTTGTGGTCTTTTCTTCATTTAGGAGATCTCTTTAGAAGTTTTCGCTGATTTCTTTTAAAGATTGTTTCTATGTATTAAATATTGTTGGGCAGATGAGACTTCTTTCTTGGTAAAATTTTCATGTGGCACTCAGTTTTGCGTTACCTATTAGATTTGAATCTACTTTAAAAAAAAGTTCAACTAAAAATAAAATGAGTATTATCACTTTTGACCCACGCCAGAAACTATTTACATTCGGTAGCCTAAAAAGGTATAAAATTTATATAATTTTTGTAAATAACATACAATATGTATATATATACAAAAAAATATAAATTATTTATATATATTAAATAAATTTTTAATACAAATACATAATCTAAAGCTAAACCTAGAGAACCCTAAGTAGAACTGTTGGTCCACCCCTGGCGTAAACCCACATGAAAAAGATGTGTAATATTTTCAAGCTTAGCTCACATGAAACAAAGCATTGAATCCAAATGTTTACACTACTTTGATACCATATAAAATCAACTTTGGACATGGACCAGATTTTACCCTATCATACAATAACTTTGATACTACAATGGAACCTTCAATCATAGAGATCACTTTCTGCTCATACATTTTTACATATAAGGGTGACTAGATCTAATGCTATATAATATAAGAAAATAAAACCTAAATGACCTAGTCACTAGATGGTGACTTTAACTGCCAAAGAGAACAAGAGGATATTGTCAAGAGTTCAGCATAGTGTTAATACACCAGATCGATACAAGAATAGGCGACTGAGCCAGCAGTTTCAAGAGATGACTGGCTCTTCTTGCATAAGAAGTTCTTGAAAAGCAGTTCCCGAAATCTTGCCTGCATGACTCGTTCAGTGGTCCATTTCCTCAACAAAATACCATCATGGTAATACCGAAATTCATGTTTTCACCCATTTGGATATGTGTACTTTCATATTTCACCTATTTGACCCAGGTCGTTTGATCTTCGCTTTGGTAACCTCCTGCATATCAGAACGCTCAATGAAATTAATAATTATAAATTCGAATAGTGAAGGTTAAGCACTCTCCAACACAAACTGTTGGCTGGGAGATTCATGCAGGTTTTGTTTCTTAAAACAAATAGCATTGGAGGTGAGATTTGCTAAACAGTTCTAGTTGGCTAACTGATGTCATTTGGACAACACAAATGCTTTTACTAGCTTGCAGATTTCTTTCAAACTTTTAAGTACTTTAGCGGTTTGCATGTCATATTTTGAAAGACCAAAATTGATATGAAAACCGGATTTTTAATCATTTCAATGCAAATACAACAACAACAACAACAACAACAACAACAACAACAACAACAACAACAACAACAACAACAACAACAACAACAACAACAACAACAACAACAACAACAACAACAACAACAACAACAACAACAACAACAACAACAACAACAACGACGACGACCCAGTAAAATCCCACAAGTGGGGTCTGGGGAGGGTAATGTGTACGCAGACCTTACTTCTACCCGAAGGGTAGAGAGGCTGTTTCCGTAAACCAGATAATTCAGTATATACTTTCTTTTTCATTTGTTTGTAACTTTGTTTATATTTCAGTATAGGCTTTCCTTTATCACAATTAAGTAATTCCAATTGACTAGTCAAGATATAGGAAAGGTTTCACTGGTGGAAACCATAAGAAAGATGATTTGACATATTCTAATACTGAAAGTAAAAGATACTCTCTCTGTCCCATTTTATGTGAAGGTATTTGACTGCACAGAGTTTAAGAAAGAAAGACTTTTGAAAAATTTGTGGTCTAAAAGAAGCCACAAATATTTGTGTGGCTATACATCATCTCATTAAAGGTAATAAAGGAAGTTAAAGTTAAATTGCTTTTAAATTATAAATGTGCCATTCTTTTTTGGGTCAGACTAAAAAGGAAAGTATACTACATAAAATGGAAATAGAGGAGTAACTCATAAATGAATAGTTTGTTCCAGAGAAATCACGTCAATGCTAAATTTATTCAACAATATGAAGGAAGGCTGCTGCATATCTCTTCGAGTACTTGCGACGCAGAACTTTCTGTTTTAAGGGAAAAGGTAAAGCAAAACCGAGACAAGAGATAAAAGTGGAAAGTAGGTCAACTATATTAGATTAGAGAAATTAGAACTAAAAACATGGGGGCCAGATTTTGTAATACCTCTTTCCATTTATCAGCTGATCTATCAGTTCTCGAGCCCGTAGACGCTCTGATAGAATTCACCTTTTTCTTCACCATGCCACCATCTTTAGGTGCCCTGCTCCAAATGTATTGCAACTTTAAAACTGATTAGTGGGATTGAACGTAATTGAGGCATAGTAACTATGCGAATGTATATGTTTAATTCTCTCAACCTAGGGCTAGAAGTTTTACAGAAGTGTGTTTGGAAAGTTACTGGGAGAGTTACCAAGATTTATTAATTGAAGGGTTTGTAGAGCAGGATCCAAAGGGGAGTGCTAAATGAAGTTCTCATTCAACAACTTTCAATTCACAAGTACCACAGAATAATAACTGATGAAAATTCTTCCCTACAGACTTACTCCTGCAGTCACCTTAGCAATTTCACAATACCGCCCCAGGACCATTTTAGAAGGGAAAATGTAATACACAATAATAAGCTAAAGAGATGCAAGGAAGGAAACAACCTACATGAAAATTTGGTCGAGAAGGTAGATCCCTCTAAACAGAATGATGACTCCATCTACAACCTTATTTGAACTACTCTCTGTTTGTTTAGGGGGAGGGGATGGATAGGAGTAGATGTAAGATTTTAAGAATAAATAAGATAAAGAAGGTCCCAGTGACCCCTCATTGAGTATGGTTCAATGGACGGCTTGAATTTCAGACAGCATAATCCCTCCCCTAAGGGGCAGGGGGCAGTACTGATGAATGTTTCAAATGGTTAAAAAGGAAAAAGAAAGAAAATTCAACAATCCACTGTTGCAATAATATAAGGAGGAAAAAAATCCGGCAGCTCCCTTTAAAATTCAAGAAATAACAGAAAGCATTGACTATAATGGGAAGGATCCCGAAACAATCTCTGAGATCTTACCCTGATGACAAATAAGCCGAACGAGCCCCCGATTGGCCTTTTAGAGTGATTTCCTTATTCGGCATCTTCCTTAATCTGTCATTGGGTAACATAGTTACTTGCATGTATGAGATCTAGTTTCCCTAATTGACTGGCAACATCTGCCGAAATAATAGAATAAAATGAAATTCATAGAATTCTTGCCTCCAGCTAAATTTTTCCAAATGGAGATGCTGTCATGCAGTGTTATCAGAGGCGAGTAAAAACCAAGAAGTGCCAGCTGGGGCTTTAAGCGCAAAACACAATTACATTGCGAGTTTTAGTGAAGAAAAGCACAGATGAAGGAAAGAACAAAATATATATGCAATGCAAACACTAACACATTTCCTCCTACATCACTTCTGTAGCAAGTCAGCTAATCTAGTCAATCACTGAATATGAAACTTGTACAGAAACAAAATCTTCAGTCTCGTGGCCAACAAAATCAGGTCTTCTTCATCGTTCATTTTATGGTAAGGAGTGTGCCGTGTCATTCGTTTGGCACAGGAAACCCCAATTGTGGTATAAATGCGTCCCTCCCCCAGGATCCCTCCAGAAAAGAAGTGCAAAGCCCTTTTAAGATAAGATTGGAGCCTGATACATATGTCAATTTGCCTAAAGAAAATTTTTGAGGCCACTCAGTTAATTTGCACAAGACTCATATACATAGAATAATTATGCTAAACAATTTGTAGGTAGGCAGTCAAAAGAAACCAGTATGTGTTACCTATACAAGCTAGTCAAAGAAGCAATTGAATTACCTTTCACTCTCCTTCTGATGAGTCAGAGAAGTTGAAATTTTCTGCTCGGATTCCTTTGACAACGCCTAACCAAACAAATGGAAACCAACAGCTAAATACTTGGTGAAACATTAAGGCATTCTACATGGAAAAAAAAATATGTTTGAATGTTGAACCTGGTCTTGTCCACCATATGTCATATCTCCGGTAGATCTTCCTTGGCTAAAACTGTTCTGGAAAGCCCTAAATGCTCGCTTTACAATATCCTTGTCCCCCATCTTCTCCATGATTAAAGATTTTCTCATTGTAGTATTAGAAGCTGTAGAATTTGCGGAACTCAAACTCAGAGACATGTGTAATGATGTCGGAGCTGCTCTCTTGCTCTCTAGTACAGGAGAATTTTTACTCCTTTGCATTGTTGCACCGTTCAACTTTTTGTTCGAGGATTGAGAAGGCGTTGCACCATTCAACTTTTTGTTTGACGATTGAGAAGGTGACGACGCAAATGACCCAGGAACAACTTTCTTTCGTTGTGCCAAAGGAGTATTATTACTTCTTTGAGTTGACGTTCCACTCACTTTCTTCACTGATGGTTGAGATGGAGTAATGACCTTAGAAGTTGATGCTTGCGTAGATGTTGGAATGAAAATTCTTGCGGATTTTGTCACAGGTGATGTCAGTTTCTTCTTTGTTCCAGCGGATACCCGATCCTCCACAGTGTGTACCTGAACATAAAGAAGAAACACTTCATAAATAACAGGAAAG